AACCAGTTTTGCTGCTGACAACCAAAACCAGCTGATCACATGCTCAAGAAGGACCATCAGCCTAACAATGGATCATTAGCACACTGATGGCTGTTTACTGTTCACATAGGGCTGAGTGATACTAGCAATCACAGCATTGTAAGAGGGGTACAGTTGAACCCGGAGGCCTCCACCCCTGTTTAATGATGGACGATTTCTTTTCACAAAGATGGCCTCCTTTACTCCTCTCTCAAACCATCGTTCCTCTCTGTCCAGGATGTGAACATCTTCATCCCTGAAAGAGTGACCGCTGGCCTAGAGATGAGTGTAGACCGCAGAGTCCTGGCCTGATGATGTTGATCTTCTGTGCTGGTCCATCCTTTTGGCCAGTGGCTGTTTTGTTTCCCCGATGTAAGACTGATCACGGCCCTCCTGACACTGAACAGCATACACAACATTGCTCTGTTTGTGCCGGGGGACTGGATCTTTGGGATGAACCAGTCTTTGCCGTAATGTATTTTTGGGTTTAAAAGCCACTGGGACGTTATGTTTAGAAAATAAACGTCTCAGTTTCTCTGATACTCCCTCAATATATGGAATGACCACTGGTCTGGGTCTGGGTTCCTCCTTTTCACCTGATGGCTGACTGGAGTCCTGTTTGGGTTTCTTCTCTGCTTTCAGAAAGGCCCAGTTAGGATATCCACATTGCTCTAGAGCCTGTCTTGTGTGGGATTTCTCCTTCTGCCTGGCTCCTGAGCTAGTGGGGACTCTGTCTGCTCTGTGATACAGAGTCCTGATGACTCCTAACTTGTGCTCCAAAGGGTGATGGGAGTCAAACTGCAAATACTGGTCTGTGTGGGTGGGTTTGCGATACACCTCGGTTTGCAATTGTCCTCTATCAGAGACTGAGACCTCACAGTCCAAGAAAGCCAACCTGCCATTTTTTTCATCTTCTCGTGTGAACTTGATGTATTTATCCACAGAGATGATGTGGTCAGTAAAATGTTGGACTTCCTGAAATTTGATTTTAACCCAGGTGTCGTCAACATACCTGAACCAATGACTTGGTGGTGTCCCTGAAAAGGACGTCAAGGCTCTCTTTTCTACCTCCTCCATGTACAGGTTGGCAACAATAGGAGAAACTGGAGACCCCATAGCACACCCATGTTTCTGCCTATAATATTGCTCCCCATATGTGAAGTAGGTTGACTGCAGGCACAGTTTCAAGAGTTGACACAGTTGTTCTGTGGAAAGCGTGGTCCTGCTGCTCAGAGTGGTGTCTGATTTTAATTTTAAACTGACCACCTCTACTGCATCATCAACAGGAATGCACGTAAAGAGTGATGTGACATCAAAAGAGACCATTGTTTCATCAGTCTCCATGATGACATCCCTCACCTTATCCACAAAGTCCATGGTGTTCTGTATGTGGTGTTCTGAGCTGCCAACTAAAGGGATGAGTACAGACGCCAGATATTTGGAAACATTGTAAGTGACAGAGTTAATCATGCTAACAATAGGTCTTAAAGGTACACCTTGTTTGTGGATTTTAGGTAAACCATACAGACTAGGTGTGGCCTCCCCTGGGTACAGTCTGTGGTACAGAATACGGTCAATAGCCTTGTCCTGCTCCAAAATTTTCAGGCAATCTATTAACTTCTTCTTGTAACCACTTCCTGGATCTCTTTTCAGAGGTTCATAAGTGTTTAAGTCACTAAGGAGTGTCATAACTTTCTCATGATAGTCTTTCTGGTTCAAAATCACTGTGCACCTTCCTTTGTCTGCTGGGAGAATGATGATGTTTTTGTCCTTGCTAAGAGTGGTGAGTGCATCCCTCTCCTCTCTACTGATGTTGGAAGGTGGTGGTTTGGCATTGCTGAGGCAGGATGAAACTTTGATTCTGAGCTGTTCTGCTTCAGCCTCTTTAATTTTGTTGTTGCGGATGGCTGACTCAGTAGCTATGATCATCTCCACCAGAGGAATTCTACTTGGTGCAACCGCAAAGTTCAGTCCCCTGGCAAGAATCTCTGTCTCTGGCTGGGTGAGCTGTCTGTCAGATAAATTCTTCACTCACTGTGCTAGTGATACTAGCAATAACAGCATTGTAAGAGGGGGACAATTGAACCCGGAGGCCTCCACTCCTGTTTTATGATGGACGGTTTCTTTTCACAAAGATGGCCTCCTTTACTCCTCTCTCAAACCATTGTTCCTCTCTATCCAGGATGTGAACATCTTCATCCCTGAAAGAGTGACCACTGGCCTGGAGATGAGTGTAGACCACAGAGTCCTGGCCTGATGATGTTGCTCTTCTGTGCTGGTCCATCCTTTTGGCCAGTGGCTGTTTAGTTTCCCCGATGTAAGATCTCAGTTTCTCTAATACTCCCTCAACATATGGAATGGCCACTGGTCTGGGTTCCTCCTTTTCACTTGTTGGCTGACTGGAGTCCTGTTTGGGTTTCTTCTCTGCTTTCAGGAAGGCCCAGTTAGGATATTCACATTGCTCTAGAGCCTGTCTTGTGTGGGATTTCTCCTTCTGCCTGGCTCCTGAGTTAGTGGGGACGCTGTCTGCTCTGTGATACAGAGTTCTGATGACTCCTAACTTGTGCTCCAAAGGGTGATGGGAGTCAAACTGCAAATACTGGTCTGTAGGTGTGGGTTTGCGGTACACCTCAGTTTGCAAATGTCCTCTATCAGAAACTGAGACCTCACAGTCCAAGAAAGCCAACCTGTATCCACATCAACCTTATGTATAAATATATAAAGTTCACACGACAAGATTTAAAAGATGTTAGGGATGTCTAGATTTCTCTCTTGTACCTGTTGCCTCTGCAACCTGAGTAGGTGGTAGAAGATGGAGAAGAGATGTTATTGAGCAAATATAATTTTATTTATTTGGCCTTTGTTTAACCAGGTTAGTTCGTTGAGAGCAAATTGTCATTTTCAATGGCAACCTGGCCAAGAGGCAGCAAGTACAGAAGTGGTAGACCAGTGAATGGTTCTGGTCCAGGAGAGACCACTCATCAGGAAAAATTGATGGAATTTCACATTAGCAAATGAGGTAAATAATACGTATTATATGTGTTTACTTCAACATGTATTGTTATTTAAATTATGATTATTCCAGAGTTTACATTTCTTTATGAGCTTGTGGTCAGGTTTTGGTATAACGTGATGTAAGAAGGAGTCAAATCCCTTTTTACAGACTGGACATTCCCAAGTTTGGTCACACAAAAAGCAGCTATTCAGCAAAATCTTCTTTCACTTCACTTTTCTACAAAATTGAAAGTATTATGTTCAATGTATTTTCCAATCTGTAGAACAAAAACTCGGTCACTGTGCTTTTTGTGTCATTTATATGCCGTTACTCACAAATGACAGACTACTTTATGTCAATAATAGAAAGTCACATTTAACCCCACAAGGATCTGCTGTTGGACTTCAGCTTCACCTCTTGCTGTAATGAGGCTACACAGGGAATTCTTTTGTCTGCTTCTTGTTGTTGGAGTCTCTCCAAAAGGTAAGCTAGATGCTTCAGCATGCTAGTAGTTGTGTTACAATAAAAACAGCAGGTTTTAAATTTATGTTTTACGCAGTTGTACTATGAATGTTTACGAAGCATTCACACTATTGTGATCCATTTTTCTTCTGTACGCTTTTCGGCGTCTTTCTCGTTCCACAGTTTTTGTGCTATGGCAACAAATCATAAATTAAAACATTCAGCTCCTTTATAGAGAAGGATGCTATGACTTTTGATATCGGTGCAGCTTTAGCTTTTTGAAATATTTAGCCTTTGCTGCCATTTTTTTAAAATCATAAATAAATTGAGCTCATTTTACATCCTTTAGAGCTTTAGATCTGTTTACAACTCTTCACTGCTCCTTTCACATTTTGTTCTGCTTCAGTTTCTTTCAGCTTCTTTGTGCAAATTCAAACATTTTTTCAGCTACTTTCAGCTGTTTTTTTTCAGCTGTTTTGTGATAATTTTATATTCGTTCAGCTAACTACAACATGTTTGTGCTTCTTGTAACTTATTTCTGATAATTTCAGCTAATTTATGCACCTCTCAGCTTTTTCAGCTATTTTAGCTACTATTTAGCTCTTTTTTATGCAACATTTAGCTTTTTTGGCTGATTCCACATTTTTGCACTAAGTTTAACTTGTTTTCAGCCTAATTCAGCAAAAATGTTCTCTCTCTACTTCCTTCTTGTAATTTAAGATTATTTCTGAAAATGTTAGCTACTTTTCAGCTGGTTTATGCTAATTTAATCTTTTTTCAGATAATATCCAAGTTTTAGTGATCATTTCGGCTTCTTTCAGGCTTTCTTTCACTGGGCATATGTTCTCTTTAAGTTTTGTTCTGCTAATTTAAGCTTGTTCTACCTTTTCAGCTACTTTCTTTTAGCATTTTTTTTCAGCTGTTTTCAGATAAATTCAATTTTTTTGTGGTAATTTCTGTTAATTTCAGCCTAACTTCATTATGCTCCTTTCAGCTCCTTTCAGTTTTTTTCTTCTATTTTCATTTTTTTCTGCTTTTCCAGCTACTTTTTAGCTGTTTTGTGCTAAATTGAGCTTTTTCAACTAATTCCACTATTTTTTTAGATAATTTCTTCCACTTTCTCTTGGATTTTTAAGCTTCTTTCTGCCTTTTCAGCTACCTTTCAGCTATTTTTTGTTGCTAATCTCAGCATTTTTAGCTAGTTTCCTAATTTTTGTGATTATTTCTGCTTATTCAAATCTAATTTAGCAGATATGTGTTCTTTCTGCTTTCTTCTGCTAACTTTGGCTTGTTCTTCAATTTCAGCTACATTTTAGCACTTTTTAGCTAATTTCAGCTGTTTTTCAGCAAGTTCTTCCGCAATAAGCATCCACATTGCATTTTCGCAGCAAATGCAATTTCTCTAGTTTAAATTAGTTCAGTCTTAAGAAGCTAAAACATTCAGCTAAAATAAATCCAAATGCTTCAGATTCATTAACAGTTCTTTTTTTTTTCTGCCTCTAACAGCTGCTGTATTTCCATCCAGCAGGTCTGGCAGCTGTGATACAAACACAGCTGAGTGTGTGGGCAACAACAGGGGGAGATGTTCTCCTCAGCTGTCAGCTTCTGGAAAATAATGGTTTTAAAACCAATCTCATTCAAGTCTCATGGGAGAAATCTTCACCTGCTGGATCAGTGAATATGGCCGCCTACAACCCACACTTTGGTGCAAGGGTGAATCCCGACTTTCGGAAAAACGTTCAGTTTGAATATCTTGGACTGCAGAACAACTCAGTAGTTATCAGGAACGTAACTGAGCAGGATGGAGGGTGTTATCTCTGTGTTTTTACCACCTACCCTCATGGCGGTCTATCAAACAAAACCTGCGTCCATGTCTATGGTAAGAAGCTGTCAGCATCCCAGTTTGAACCAGTTCATCTTGGAGTCTCTGATGGTTCTTGTTGTGTGTGCAGAGCTGCATGAACCCGTCCTTCAGGTCAGAGGATCAAAGTCTCCTGAAGAGTCACTTGTGTCGTGTTCAGCCACAGGTCGACCTGCTCCCACTGTAACTCTGACTGTTCCACAACAACACCTCCACTTGTCACAACACAACACCGTCACAGTCACCAACACCAACAATACAGTCACCGTCACCACCACAGCTGTGCTGTCAGGTCTCCATGACGACAGCACACGGGTTGGATGTGCAGCCAGAGTGGACTCTGGTCCTCAGGTGGAGGTGGTGAAGAGGATTTCTTTGTTCAACAATGCACCCAGATGTTTCCGTAAGTAAAAGCTCAAATGGTCTAAACTCTTATTTTATTATTGATTAGCTGTATAAAAAGTGTTTTCTGTCTTTTAGATTTGACTTGGGTCACTTCATTGTGCACGTCTGTTTTTGTGTCGCTGCTGATTATCTTTTAGTAACAGGTAAGATTTTAAAATAAAAAAAATGGCGTAATGAAGAGTTTATTTAAACTTTCTTTAAGTAAATCTGAGATACAGACTCAAGATGAAGTCAAAAACACGAGTGATTAAGGTGTGCCCCCCCCCCCCCCTTTAATATTATGATCTGTTCTTAGCAATATTTTGTTAGATATATCTGCCCTGCAGCTTCATTAAAACCCAAACAAAAATGCATCAAGATGTGTGAGTCAGTCAGAAATAGTAACATGTGCTCTAACTTCTGGTACCATTACATCAGTGTACTCAACATTTGCAAAGAACTGCAAAAGACTTTCTACTTAATGTCCACTATATGAATAAAATTAGTTAGACACCTGAATATTGAATTCAAGTGTTTCAGTCAGTGTTTGTTCTAAGCCTCTGACCTCCAGTGAAGGGCAGTTTTAACATTTTAGCAAGATCAGTGGCGGCTAGTGGAGTTTTAGGGGTTATAAGTGTGTGAAGCGGAAATGTCCATTGTTTCATGAGCCTGGATGGAGACAAAGTCTGCACTCCTGATTTAATCAGCGATGCACTTTCTCAAAACTGACAGCATACAATCAAGGAGTTCATTCTGCACAGTCTTAGATGTTCCCTTAAACACAGTGGCAGTCTGCAGGTACTCATGCAGAACTGCATCCAGTGATGCTACAAAATCCACCAGTCCTCTGAAAACACCCAGATTTTCTGAGCTTTCACTTTCATCATGGCCACGCAGGGCAAGTTCAAATGCACCACAGAACTTGACACAGTCTATTATTTTTGATAGAATATGCCTGTTTTTGTCCACCTCCTCATTGTGCTTACGGATCCCTACCCTGTAGCCTTCATCAAGCTGAAATGCAATGTTTATTTTTCCAAACATGGCTAGTCGCAGTGCATTTTCCATGTGGATCCCAGATTGTTCATGCTTTTTTGCCTGCTTTAAATCAGTCATACCTGTCTTAATACATGCAGATCCTGATGTTCGAAAAAGGAGGCAGGGAAAGCAGAATAAAGCAGTAGCCTCGCTATACGCAGTTAGCCAAGCCTTATTGCTAAACCAGGTCCTGGTAAAAGATAGAGTGTACCGTCTCCCTCTGTCTGTGGACTGCTGAGCAATTGTGATGTTCATCCCACTGCGGGAGGGTAATGATATGCAAATAAAGCTGCATTCAGCTCTGGGCGCAGGAGAGGTGCGCCCAGAATGGTCCTATCTCTTGTATTGAAGAGGACACCTTTTAACGAGAGTCTTTTTGCGCCCCAGGGTAGAAATACGTCACCAATTAGACAACGTCAATGAACGAAACAACTTTATTCAACATTAACTATAAAATATTTATCTTACAAAACAAAAAATATACATATATTTTGAAATATTTTTATTTTATTATTTCATTTTGATGTAATTTTTTTTTATGCCTTATTCAAGGTAATGTGGTGATTGGTGGGGCGACGCCCTTGAGCCCTCTATTGGCCAGCTGCCACTGACTAAGATGTTTTGGACAATGTCACGCCTTCACTTTGGTAATGTCTCTTTTCTATCCCAACATGACTGTGCCCCATTGCACTAAAGACTGAAAAGATATGATTTGATGATTTTGGACTGGAAGAACTTAACTGGTCCTGACCTCAACCACATCAATCCATTGGCAGGAACCTGAACAGAGATGTCCAGCTAGACCTTCTCGTCCAGCATCAGTGTCTCATAAATGCTCTACAGAAAAATTGACAAAAATTCTTCACAAAAAAAGACTCCAAACACTGTATGGAAAGACCACCAAGAGCATTTCTGGAGGAATTTGTTTATTCATTGAACAAATTATGAAATATTAGACAAGAAAATCAACATGAAGATTCAAGCTTCTGATGTATTTTATGTGGAGATGAGCTCCTAAATACATGGTGTATATAAAAATATATTCTATTACCAAAATATATTGTTTTGGTAATGTGTTGTTATTTTCAACTATACAAGTGTTCAAAATAAATTTTTTCTCATCACCTTTTATTCCTACTTGTCTTCTGCTGTGTGTTTTTTCCTTAGAAGCCTAATTATGGCAAAAATCAACAAGAATAGCTGATTTTAAAACTGATTTACGGTAATTTATCCTTTACACTTGTAGCTTTATCAAGTGTAACGGGCAGGCTCTTGAATGTAACTTTAAATGGAAATGTGCTGAACAGAATATAACTGTAAAGAAACAAGTTTCGAGGTGTTTCTGACTGACACACTTTTAGTTGTGTGGTTTTGCTGCTTCCTGCCGAGGAGTTCTGCACAGAGCAAAAAGAAGCGACTTCACCTTCAAGCATCACCGTTGCCTTTTGCTTCAAAGATGCTACCCGGTGCATTTTTGTATCTGCTCTTTGTGAGTGAAGTCTTCGTAAAAGGTAAGAAACTGCTGGTTTCAGCAATATAAAAATAAAATACCTCAGACTATCTTCATTGTTTAACTTGAAAATGTTGGCAATGTGAAGCTTTTTGACTTTCAATGGATTTATTTCACTTGGTCAACTATATGCTAAAACTAAGTCCCCGTTTCACTATCGACCTGTTCACGTTTCGAATGATGTTTCAAAAGATTTTTCTTCCGCTTTAAATCACATTTCAAATCAGTTTCCTCCCCTTAGCAATCCGGAATCACAGGCCCGCAGGGTATGGACCCAAAGTTAGCCTAAAGCTAAACCCTCAGCTAACCACTGATCCGTTCACATTTCAAACCAGTTTTCCGTGCTTAGTGAGACACCTGCCGAGGATCAGACTCTCGTTATTGGTAGCTCCATAGTCCGAAACGTGGCACCTGCAACTTAAACCATCTTAAACTACTGGCTAAAGCTAAGGCTAAGTACAGTAAAATTATTATTCACGTCGGCGAAAATTACACTCGGCTACACAAATTAGAGATCACTAAAATTAATGTTGCTTCAATGTGTAACTTCGCGAAAACTATGTTGGACTCTGTAGTTTTCTCCAGCACCATCCCCAACCTGACCAGCGATGACATGTTTAGCCGTATGTCGGCTTTCAACCGCTGGGCGTCCAGGTGGTGCTCTGAAAACAACGTAGGATTTGTAGACAACTGGAGTAAAACCCAGTTTGATGCGGAGAGATGGAATCCATCCCACCTTAAATGGAGCAGCACTTCTCTCTAAAAACTTACCCGATTCAGTTGGACATACAGATTATTGACAATTAACCGTCCAGTCTAGAAATCTTCCACACCTCTCTGCTGCTTCTATTTTGTTACCCACCCACACCCCCATTGCAACTGTGCCAACTCGCCCATAGCTCAAATTAAATAAACCAAAAAATAGCTCTAAAAATATAAACCACAATAATCTTATTAATATAAACACAACTTTAACAGAACAAAATAATAAAAAATTTTAAATGTAGATTATTGAACATCAGATATCTTTCCTGTAAATCCCTGTTAGTTAATGACCTGATAACTGATCATCATATTGATTTAACCTGGCTACAACAGGAAGATTTTGTTAGTATAATCTATAACATATATCTATAATATATAATCTATAATAATTACTCCACTCCACCTAATTATTTAAATTTTCATGTTCCTAGAACAACTGGTCAAGGTGGAGGTGTAGCTTCTATTTTTCAGTCGTGCCTATTAATTAATATTAAACCAATTAGTAGTTATAATACTTTTGAGTTGCTGTCTCTAAGTCTATCCCATCCTAAATGGCAAACGGACGGCCACTTTAACTAGTATTGCCTCTCATTCTGTGTCAGATGAGACAATTTTAAAAATGTCACTAGAACCTGATTTATGTTTGGAATGTCTTTGTCCTGTTGAGCTCCCTGAAATGCCAAAAATAATAGCTTCATCCAAACCATCCACATGTCTGCTAGATCCCATCCCAACCAGACTGTTTAAAGGTGTATTTTCCTTAATTAATAACCATGTCTTGGATCTGCTTGATTTGTCTCTAATAAACAGTTATGTACCACAGAGTTTTAAGGTTGCTGTAATTAAACATTTACTTAAGAAACATAACCTTGACTCAGGAATCCTAGCCAATTATAGACCTATATCTAATCTAACTTTCATCTAAAAAATTCAAGAGAAAATTGTTGCTGGTCAGTTACGTGATCACTTGCAAAGAAATAATCTGAAGAGTTTCAGTCAGGGTTTGGAGCTCACCACATCACTGAATCGGCACTGGTGAAAGTTACTAATGATATTCTCATGGCCTCTGACAATGGACAGGTGTCTACACTGGTCCTGTTAGACCTCAGTGCTGCATTTGATAAAGTTGATCATAATATTATAGTAAGTTTTAAGATTTGGTTGATTATAATATTCTTTTACTTATGTTTAGAGCTCAGAATTACTCACTACCATCAAACATTCAGAACTATTTTGTGAAAAGGACCAGTAGTTATAATTTAAAGGGAATAGAAATGTTTGTTAAACCTAAGTACAGAACAAGTTTAAAGGGTAGATCTACTACACTAAGAGGAATTGATCTTTGGAATGGTTTGGAGGACAATGTAAAAAAAGCGAAGTCAATACTAACATTTAGGAAAATGGTTAAAACTATTTTGTTAAATAATTATATTTAGTTGTTTCTATTTAACAAATTATAAAGGTATTTTGATGAGACTATTCTTTTGTATTACAATAAGCAAATTAATGTTTGAATTGATTGTTTGAATTTGATTGTTTAATAGGGAGCAGATATAATAAGAAATGTTTTCTTCTTCTGCTTCCTTTCATTTTATGTTTTTTTGTTTAATTTTTTTTCTTTCTAAAAATTGTCATTGTTTTTTATATGAAATGAATAAATTTACAATAAATAAATAAATAAATAAATAAATAAATAAAATATTCTATTACAGAGACTCGAATGTGATATTGGAATTACAGGAACAGCTCTAAATTGGTTTAAATCATGCCTATCTGATAGATTCCAATTTGTAAATGTAAATAAAGAATCTTCATCATACACCAAAGTTAGTCATGGTGTTCCTCAGGGTTCATTGCTTGGACCACTACTCTTTACCTTGTATTCCATTAGGTAATGTTATTAAACAGCATGGGATATATTCTCATTGTTATAATCAGCTATTTATACTACAAGCATGTCTTATAGACAAAAACATGGATGACCCTAAAAGTTTTGCTTCTGAATACAGACAAGACTGAGGTTTTAGTTTTTGGACCTGAGCCTCTTAGGAATGGATTTTTCAGTCTTTAACCCTCCTTGGATGGCATTAATTTGGCCTCCAGCTATAATGTTAAAAATCTTGGTGTTTTTTTTTTGATCAGGACATGTCTTTTATCCCCCACATTAAAAACGTTACTAGAACAGCCTTCTTCCACCTGCGTACTATCACTAAAATTAGAAACATCTTATCCAAAAATGATGCAGAAAAACTGGTTCATGCATTTGTCACATCTAGACTGGACTATTGTAATGGTTTATTATCTGGGTGTCCAAATACTTCTTTAAAAAGTCTTCAGTTGATCCAAAATGCTGCTGCCAGAGTCTTAACCGGAGTTAGTGGGAGAGATCATATCTATCCAGTTTTAACTTCTCTCCATTGACTCCCTGTCAGATTTAGAGCAGCATTCAAAATCTCACTTCTAACCTACAAAGCTCTCAACAGCCTAGCTCCATCTTATATTTGAGATCTTATTGTTCCATATTTTCCTAACAGAGCACTTTGCTGTCAGACTGCAGGCTTACTTGTGGTTCCTAGAGTTTCCAAAAGCAGAATTGGAGGAAGATTTTTCAGTTATCAGGCTCCTCTCTTATGGAACCATCTTCCAGTTTCTGTCTGTGAGGCTGACGCATTGTCCAGTTTTAAGACAGGGCTTAAGACTTTCCTTTATGATAAATCCTATAGTTAGGGTTGGCTTGTTATGCTGCTATAGGCTTAGACTACTGGAGGACAAATTGACCTCATTTCCTTAAATGAATTGTTAAAATTGAATAGTTTTAATTTGATACTATTTCTATCTTAATGTGATTCTTGATCTGCCATTGTGTATCTGTTCCTCCTTCCTGTTCCTCTCAAACCCAGCCGGTCGAAGCAGATGACCGCTTGTCCTGAGCCTGGTTCTGCTAAAGGTTTCTTCCACATGAGGGAGTTTTTCCTTTCCACTGTCGCCTTTATGCTTGCTCCAGATGAGAGTTCTGTGATGGAGTTAAATTCAAAGCAGTCTGCGCCTCAGATAAATAATGTTAACTTATTATTTTTATGTATGAATGTTTCTGTTCAGTGCCCTGAGATGACTTCTGTTGTGACTTGGCACTTTATAAATAAACTGAATTGAATTGAATTGAACTCGGAGGCTCAGTATAAAGGTGAAGTATGTCTACTGTCACAGATGGAAACGTGAAATATTAAATGAGCAGAAGAGTGACTTTTTCAACTAACATCTGTCATATTTCTGTCCTGCAGGTCAAACAATTGTGATAAAAACACAGCAGAGTGTCTTGGCAAGATTGGGAGAAAATGCGCATCTCAGCTGTCATCTCAGCTGGTTTTCCAGTTCTGTCCTGGAAAGCAAAATCATTCAGGTCACGTGGCAAAAAACTTTATCTGATGAACAAAAAAATGTTGCAACTTACAACCAAATCTTCGGTCAAACAGTGAATGACGACTTCAAGAATAAAGTTCAGTTTAAAGAGGCTGGACTGCAGAACAACTCAATAGTTATCAGGAACGTAGCAGAGCAGGATGGAGGGTGTTATGTCTGTGTTTTCAACATGTTTCCTGATGGAAGTCTATCAAACAAAACCTGCCTCCATGTCTATGGTAAGAAGCTGTCAGCATCCCAGTTTGAACCAGTTCATCTTGGCGTCTCTGATGGTTCTTGTTGTGTGTGCAGAGCTGCATGAACCCGTCCTTCAGGTCAGAAGATCAAAGTCTCCTGAAGAGTCACTTGTGTCGTGTTCAGCCACAGGTCGACCTGCTCCCACTGTAACTCTGACTGTTCCACAACAACACCTCCACTTGTCACAACACAACACCATCACAGTTACCAACACCAACAATACAGTCACCGTCACCACCACAGCTGTGCTGTCAGGTCTCCATGACGACAGCACACGGGTTGGATGTGCAGCCAGAGTGGACTCTGGTCCTTAGGTGGAGGTGGTGAAGAGGATCGCTGAGCTCAGACAGATGTCTGGCGGTGCTTCCAAAGGTTCCAGTAAGTTCAAGTTCTGGTTGTCTCAAATAGTTATATTATTAATGATGTGCTGGGATAATTTGAGGAGACTCTGTGCCAGACTCACAACTTACTGAAGGCATTATACATACTCTTTGGCCTGGGAACACCACTGCATCCCCCAGGAAGAGCTGGAGAGTGTTGCTGGGGAAACGAATGTTTGGATTTCCCTCCTAGACCTGTTGCCCCATCACCCAATTATGGACAAGCATTAGAAAATGAATGGTTGGTCAGATGGAATTTGCTGATATTCTGTAAACCATCCTTCCAGCCATTATCTTTTACCCTCTTCTTCCTTTCCAGGGTAAGGAGGTCACTGTTGCCCATATCCATCTATCACTGTGCGAGAGGTGGGGTACACCTTGGACAGGTCTCCAGTCCTTCACAGGGACACATAGAGACAAACAATCACTCACACCTAGGGACAATTTAGAGTTACCAATCAGCCTAACGTGCATATTTTTGCTCTGTGGAAGGAAACCAGAGTACCAGGAGAAAACCCTCGCATGCACAGAGAGAACATGCAAACTCCACCCAGAATAGGCTCCGGGTCGGGATTGGGTCTAGCTACTTTCTCACTGAGAGGCGGCAGCTCTACCAACTGAACCACCTGCTCCGCCTATTCTGTAAACCTTGAAACCCTCTTTAGCCTCTTTCGTGTGGAGTTCCTCAGGGTTGTTTTCTTGGACCAGTATCATTCTCTTTTTTTCACGCATGCTCTAGGCTTCATTGTTGGATAATTTAATCATCCTATTATTTTCTCAAATAAATAAACCACACAAGGAAAACTAGAAGATCTTGTCAACTCAGCTTTAATCTTGCAAGAGGGACAGCGTTGAAAAACAAGGATCAAGATGTTACATGTTGCTTCGTCTCCAAGGTCTGCTCACAGAGAAAAAGTCAGCAAAAGCTTAAATACCCGTTATCAGACAGAGGAGACGTCAAGACAACCTCTGCTTCACAGCTCACAGTAGGCGTCAGAGTTTATCAGCTATCAGTTATCAGCCTCCTCTCTGCGTAGACAGAAAGGCTCTCTTGGATTTACACACATGGTTCTATATTAATTTGACATCAGTAAGTGAAACATCCATGACCTTTACATAATCTTCCCCCATCATTCATAATTAATTAGATACCGAAATCTAATAATGGTCAATCAGGTCATCTGGATAGTTTCTTCATTTCGCCCTCTATCTGTAGGGCTTCATCAGTCTGAGGAGTCCCAAATAAACTGTGTTCCCCACTAAGCTGTACACTCCTTTAGTGGACCAACCAGTTGGTGATAAGAGGGTTTCTGGGGGCTGTCCTGTCCCCCGTCGACTCCTCCCAGGCAGGCAGCTACAGCCAAAGTGGTTCAAGACATCAAAGTTCATGCTCAATCATCCAGTCTCCTCAGACTGATGAAGCCCTCCAGATAGAGAGCGAAACGTCTTTCCACAAAAAAAGAAACTGTCCAGATGACCCGATTGACCATTACTGGATGTTGTACATGGATGATTGAGCATGAACTTTGATACCGAAATCTACTTATTATTGAAGTGCAACAGTTGGACTGTGCTGCAAATGTTAAGGCTTGGATGTTTTTAAAAATTATTACATTTTAGAGAGGAATAAACTGAAGTAACTATTTCTGGAACATCTGCAATGCCTCTTTAGATCTGATTAGTCTTGAGTGATAAATTCACACGTTAAACCATCTGATATTTCATTCTAATTTTAACTTTGAGAAACAAATCAGTTAAGTAGTAGTGTTTTCTCTACAGAATAATAAAAATATTTGATGATTTTCAAGGAGTGAACCTTGTTGTTACTGTATGAAATACTTGAATATTGCTCAAAGTAATTACGTATTTTTTGTCTTTCAGATTCCACTTGGATAATTGTACTATGTGTGTCTGTACTAGTGCTTCTGCGGCCATGACAGTCCTGTTTAAACATCAGGTAAGTCTTCTAAAACATGTCTGTGTTACAAAACTCAAATTAAGTCCCACATGTTGATGAATGAAATAATCTAAACTGTCATGTCAAAGACAGGTTTGAGTCAGCGACCTGTCTTTTCCCACAATCAACATGTTTTTTTTTGTCTGTTTTTAGGAAAAGGAACCTGACCCAAGGAGAAAATCAGCTGACAAACGAAGATTCAAACTTATGATAAACCACATTCCACACATGGACATTATGCAAAAAACAGCATTTTACAAGAAACGTTGTCATTATGGGAAAATATCAGCATATTTAAACTGTATTGTAGCATTAAAAAAAAAAAAAAATAACTGGCTAAATGTTGCATTTATGGTGTATGTCCAAAACCAACCCTTGTTTGTTTTTGAGGGTTATTAAACACAATTTGATTACATCATGCATATTAATCTTTTTTTTTCTACTTGTATGATCTAATGTGTACATTTGAATAACTTTCTTAACATTTTTTATGTAGTTTATAAGAATATTGCCATAAAAGCAATCAAAAACATAACATTCCTTGAAGGAATGCATATTATCCGCCACCTTTCATGCCATAGTTTGAAATTAAGATTATTTTATGAAAAAAAATAAACAACAGCAATGTCGCTGCTTTGGTCAAATCTTAAGAAAACAATCTTTTACAGTGCAATCTCATAAAATATTTTGCTAACAGATGTGCAAAAGCATTTCTTGTTTGGCAGCAGCCGATATTAACAGGATTTCTGTAAGATTAAAAAGTCAAAACCCAGAGGAGCCTGTGCGATGATGCATGAATGGTTGTGCAAAGTTCAGAAACTTTGTGTGGCTTTCCTGCCAGCAGGTGGTTTAAGTTGTGACAGAAATGGGTGCCAAAGTCTAAAACACAAAGTGAATGGGTCTGTTTTACCTAACATGACAGAATCTACACCCCATCGTATCAAACCCAGAGTGGGTTTTGTCACCATTGGTGCTGGTGAGCCCAGTTGTGCAGGCAAGCAGGCGAGGACTCAGGGTTTATATATAAAAATAAAAGATTTATTAACAAAACAAACGAGCTGACAGGGCAGCAAAAACAAACAAGGATGGACAGGTGGTACTTACAAAACAGACAGGTGAGCAGTAGACAATGCCAGGACAAAGACTAACACAGACACATACTTATATATAGAGAAACACCAATCAGACAAAGTGAAGGAACCTGTGAGTAATCACAGATGCCAGGAGACAGAGATTGAAGACGCAGGACATAAACACGACACAAGATGGGACTAGACACCAAAGAAACACAAACCCTGTAGAGACATAAACAGAGGATCAGAGAAACACAAACATGAACACAACACCAAGGATAAAAACACAATTCCTACAGGTTTAGTTTGTTATTATCGTATTTTTTGGACTAAAAGGTGCACCGGATTATAAGGTGCATTATCAATGAACGGGTCCGTTTTCATACATAAAGTGCACTGGATTATAAGGCGCATTAAGTGAAACAAAACAATCAAATAAGTCAAATTTTATTCAACTCATTCACAATAATCACATAAAATTGGTTTGAGTTCAGTAAGCACAACCAGAATTAATAATAAGATGCAGTGGATTATAAGGCTCACTGTCAATTTTTGAGAAATTTAAAGGATTTTAAGTGTGCCTTATAGTCCGAAAAATATGGTATCTCCTGCAGCAATCATAGAATATGATGCATTTTTTATTATGCTTTTTGTGTGGAGCCTTGCCAAAATATACAACAAATGTGTTCCCACTTCTAGATTTAGTTTGACTTTTTCCCCACCAGAGACAGAAATTAACACAATGAGCCAAACCACCACATGAGTCAGCCTCCGTAAAGTCTCCATCCTGTGTGAATGATGGGAACTTGTACACGCACACATTGTTTTCCCCACTTTAGGTTCCAAATGAACTTGAAAATCTTGTGATCAATGTGTGAAGATTAAAGCAGGTGATGGATCAAACTGTTTGTCATGTGAAGTTCATAAAATGCTACTGTCTGCATGTGAGTCACAAAACATGTCTGTGTTTTAGATTTTTTGTTTTTCATATGTGACAAGTGGAAGTGAACTTTATTACATTTATGACTTGCATCAGGTCTATTGACCAGTAAAGATTGAGAACATCTTACAGGAGTTTAATTTATAGATTTCTTAAGTTATTCTCTTTTCTATTAACCAGAACTCAACAATGAAGTAGATTTTTTTTTTTTTTTTTTTACTGGGAGCCATAATCAAGACTCTTTGAAAGCTTCTCTTTCATATATATGTATGTACACACACACACACACACACACACACACACATAAATATATATTTATATATGTGTGTGTGTGTATTTTTTATTTTATTTCTCTGCTTGTCTTAAAAAATATTTTTCATTCGACCTTTATTTATACAGGCTAGCCTCACTGAGCCACGGGGACTCATTTGCAAGAGAGACCTGTTCCAGACAGAACATATAAAGTACAGACAACAAAACAGTAGACAATGGCAACAATAAACTACAGTAAAAATGCAGTTAAAATAAGAGTAATGTATAAAACAATAAATCAGGGTGCCACAAACCAAGGTACTATACTAAAAACAAGAACATATTTGCTTTGACTTTTCTACTGACATTAGCAAATGTTTGAAACCCCTTAAAGAAATCAAGATGGACAACTTCAGTTCCTGTTGCAAGGTGTTCCAGGATACAGGAGCTGAGTAGGAAATGGCCTTTTTGCCAAGTTCAGTCCGCACTGACGAGACGCTGCAGGTAATGATGTCCTGAGAGCACATGTTGTAACTGCACTGACGGCATGACACATGGGAGGAGATATAAGAAGGCAGCAGACCAAGGAGGGATTTATAGATGAAAATGAACCAGAGTGAGAGTCTACGTGTAGATAATGATGACCAACTGACCAAGGAATACAAAGTGCAGAGATGTGTACGGTAGTTACAGCCAGTTATAAATCTTAGCGCGCCATGGTAGATGACATCCAACATCTGCAAGGAGCTGGCAGGGGCATTCATGTAAATAACATCACCATAATCATTGGCCAGTATGAAGGTAGCAGTTACAAGGCGTTTTCTGGCATTCAGAGTTAAGCAAGATGTATTTCTTAAAAAGAAACCCAATTTTAATTTCAGTTTCTTTATCAAGTTTTCGACGTAGTTTAAAAGTAAGATGTGCATCAACCAAAATTCCCAAGTATTTGTAAGAATCTACAAACTCAATAGGAACAACATGCATGGATGAGATGGGAGGAAGAGTTTCTTCTGGAAAACAACATCCCTTTGGTTTTGTCAGCATTTAGCACCAGCATGAGATGGAATAAGTCTGACTGATGTCAAAGGCAGACTGTAGAAGCTGGAAAACCTTGGCAACTGTGTTAGCTTGGCAATAAACAACAGAGTCATCGGCATAGAGATGCAAGGTGCGTCAAGAATGTTTTGACCTACATTATTTATATAAATTGTATAAAGAGTGGGACCTAAAACGGAGCCTTGTGGCACACCGCTGGTGACCGTTAGGTAGCTAGATGAAGTACCGTTATGTTAAACACATAGCCTCCGACCTGAGAGTTTGAGAACCAGCCAACAGTGTGACCTGAGAAGCCAGTATCTGAGAGCTTGTGGCATAAGATGTCATGGTGTACTACAGTATCAAAGGCTTTGGCTAAATAAAGTGCAGCACAGTAATCCTTAGCATCCAAAACTTCAACAACATCCTTAAAAACTTTTAGTGAAGCAGTCATTGTGCTATGTTGTTTTCTGAAGCCAGATCGGAGGGAAGATAAAATATTAAGAGTCCAAATACTTCTTGACCTGAGTATTTATCAGTTTTTTCTAAAACCGTAGGTAAAATACAGAGTTTGGAGATTTGTTGATAATTGTTCAGTATAGTTGGGTCTCCTCCCTTCAATAACGGCAGCACAAAAGCTGTTTCATCTGGGACAGTATTATGTTGTATAGACAGATTGAAAATGTGTGACACTGGTTCTGCTATAATTTGTGCAGCTAGACTTAAATAATTTAAACAAATAAATAATAAAGTCCTGAATAGATCGTTTTGATTTTGATTTTTTTTCCAGGAAACAGATATGAAGACAAAGCCAAGACACATCAGGGGTCAGAGAAAAATCTGATACTCACCTCACAAAAAACACAGCTTTTCTGTGATTTAATAACTTGCAGGGTAACTTTAAAGGACTTCCAGCTAATCTAACCTCTGATGTGCCGAAACTCCTTCAACTGCCCAAAGTGCAGTTACTTCTGAAACACGAAAGCAGGCAGGATATTAACACTTCATATTTAAATGAACAGAATTGATTTAAAAAAAAGTTATCATGTTGTTTTACCCCAAAATCTAAGCCGAACGTGCAGGCCTTTTATCTGTCCGAGTTCGTTCTGAACGGTCCACGTGCAGAAAAAAACGAGACCTTATTCAAGTCAAAATGAACTTTTAAGAGAGAGCAGACTTTAAATAAGTTGTGCATGGAATGTCTGATAAAACACACAGTTATTGTGTTTGTGATTTAAAATGTGAATAATTCTAAAGTCTATGGTATGGCAAATGTTTATAGCCATTTAAATGATACCATGAATTAAATATATATATATAATAAATAATACATAATTAAATACACGTGTATGTATATATATTCTTGATAGTGCATTTTTAATGTTTAAAAAAAACCCACAAGAATGGTGTAAATGTATTAGTATATATTTTTATTCTATGTTAATATTCATTCAGTCATTCAACCTTTATTTAGACAGGTGAATCCCATATATTAATATAAGTACAAGTATTTGTTTTTAATCATATGTCGCACTATTTTTTTAATCACCCATATTTTTTTTATTTAATTTTAATTTTAATTAACTTTATTTATACAGGTTAGTCTCGTTGAGTCACGAGAACTCAATTTTCAAGACACCTGTTTTGGAGCAGATGATGGGGGTTAAGGGCCTTGCTCAAGGGCCCAGAGTGGGGCAAAGGAGGGTGGAGGCAGGTGTGGGTGTTCCACCTTTCCCACCCACATTTTGATGCTGTCGGTCCAGGGAGTCGAACCGGTGACCTTCCGATAGCGGAAGGTCTCTAGCCTCTGTGCCCCCTTCCCCGTTTATTGATCCATCCATCCATCCATTTTCTTTACCCGTTTATTCCATTTTGGGTCACGGGGGTCGCTGGTGCCCATGTCCAGCAATCACTGTGCGAGGGGCGGGGTACACCCTGGATGGGTCGCAAGTCCATCACAGGGCCACATAGAGACAAACGAGACAAACAACCATTCACTCTCTCACGCACACCTAGGGACAATTTAGAGTTACCAATCAGCCTAACATGCATGTTTTTGGACTGTGGGAGGAAACCGGAGTACCCGGAGAAAACCCACGCATGCACGGAGAGAACATGCAAACTCCACCCAGAAAGGCCTCCGGACCGGGGTTTGAACCAGGGACCTGCTCGCTGAGAGGCAGCAGCTCTACCAGTTGCGCCACCGTGCTGCCTCCCGTTTATTGATTTAAATACATAAAGTTGTTGTACTACCAGTAACAATTATGAGATTTGTTAAAATTATTTTTGTCTCCGTTATTCAAGTAATTAAATTGAAACACAAGGTCTCATTCTCAAGAGACCCATTTTAAGTGTAACGCAAGAATGTCTTTTGTTTTTTTTGTCTTTTAATTGCACCCTTGAGGATTAATAAAGTTTTTTTTAAATGAATTGAATTGAATGTAATTACAGTCAATACATGCATATTACAATCTAAACAACATCACATTAAAAAAACAAACAAATTAAAACAAGTACATTTCCAAAATACTGTACTGTGATTATTTTATTTTAATTGACAGTGCCTGAACCACAAAGTTTAGCTGCAGTTGCACATTCTGGCCACCAGGGGTCTCTGTTTGTTCGTGGCGCTGTTGATGCTGTTTAATGTCCGCACGAGGCGGCAGGAAGTCAGGTCGTAGTTAAACGTCTGAACTGAGGAACCCGCCGCTTCACTTTGATATGAACCGAAGAGCAGGGAGCATATTGGAGCAAACTTCAATTCTACAGACTAAAATCTGTCAGCAGGTAAGTTTAATGACTTGTATATATTTATAAAAATAAATATATTACACATTTTAATGTTGAAAACTGGTTTGAAATTTTTAAAACGACGTCGTTTTTCGTCTTTTGAACGTTTAGCTAATTTAACACACCTGTGTTGTAAACACTTGGAAATATCTCTGTCCTTAAAAACAGAATTTTATTCAATATTTATCAACACATCTGACACGTTTGATCTAATAATAACAGCTTTATTTCAAGACGAACACAAGTTAGTAAAATATGTCCAAAAAAAAAAAAAGTGAATCTTAGGGATTCATGATGTTTATTTAATAAGTTTAATTTAATGTTTGCTTCCTGGGGCCTGTGGAGAACATCTGGATGCAGAGCAAAAATCCTGGTTGGGAGTATGGTTTCACTATTTGGAGCTCATTCTGTTCTTTTTTTTTTTTAAAGATGTGTTCATAATATTTTATATTTTGTGAAAAAGTGTCACCCCTAAGAATCTGCAAAAATGACTACCGATTAAAAAAAAATATTTCTCCAAATACAATCTGAAAAGCTTTTCACATTAAAAGTCTGACAGCTGATCCAGATAAAATCATTAATAGGAGCTGTCTGCAGCAGAGTTTATTTATTTATTTATTTAGTGGAAAAGGGATTAAACTGCTGCCCAACAGGAGCAGGATGCTTGCTTGAAGCCAGATGCTTGGCACTGTTAAAGAGCAAATAACGCCTATAAAACTTTCAGCTCTGCTCTGTTTTGTGGTTGAAGCAGGTTCCTGTAATCCCACTGAAGTCCAACTCACTCCTCCCACAGCGAGTCTCGTCAAGGACCAGTTCTAACTTTTAAATCAAGGGAGTTTATAACTAATCTGCAGGTTTCAAGCAAATGAATTTACGTTTTTGTTTAGTAACTTGTGCTGAGCTTGGATTTTTACAGTTCTGATCCATACACACCCTCTGGTTGCACACATGCTGTGATTACCCGAGCCATTAACGTCCTCTCATCCTGTCTTGTGTCATCACTGGGCTTTGTAGTTCCTTCGGAGGTATTGATTTCGAAACCTCCAGCTTTGATGCCGTCTAGACTTTTAAGGTGGCAGCTGTTTTTGCTGATACAAACTCAGGCACCAGATTTTTTTTGTGCGACTCTAAACAGAAACGAGCGGGATCATGAAAACGCCTTGATGGACTAAAAACATGATTTATTGTGTGAATGTTTGTGAAGCATTCGCACCATTGTGATCCATTTTTCTTCCGTACATTATTCAGCGTCTTGCTCGTTCCACAGTTTTTGTGCTATTTCAACAAATCGTAAATCGAAACGTTCAGCTCGTTCAGGAGAAAGGGTGCTGTGACGTGTTGGCGTTGGTGCAACTTTAGCTTTTAGAAATATTTAGCCTTTTCTGTCACTTTTTTTTTTCCCACATAGAGAATGAATTGAGCTCATTTTACATCCTTCCAATCTTTTTAATGTGTTTACAACCTTTTACATTTTGTTCTGCTTCAGCTACTTTGTGCAAATTGAAACTTTTTTCAGCTACTTTCAGCTCGTCAGCCCCCCCCCCCCCCCAGCTGTTTTGAGCTACTTTTAGATTCTTTCTGCTAACTATAACATTTTTGTGCTTCTTGTAACCTCTTTCTGTTAATTTCAGCTGTTTCTGCTATTTCGTCTGCTATTTAACTGTTTTTATGCAAATTTTATCTTTTTGGCTAATTCCCCATTTTTTACACTCGTTTAAATTTTTTCAGCCTAATTTAGCAAAAATCTACTCTCTCCACTTCCTTCTGGTAATTTAGGCTACTTTCAGAAATTTTTAGCTACTTTTCAGCTACTTTTTTTAAAAACTAATTTCAGCTTTTCTCAGATAATATCCTTCTTTTTACTGCTCATTCCTGCTTCTTTTAATTTAATTGGGTAAATGTGTTTTTTCTCCTTTCTTCTGCTAATGTAAGCTTGTTCTACCTTTTCAGCTACCTCTTTTTTTTTTAGCATTTTACAGCTAACTTCAGCTGCTTTCAGATAAATTCAAGTTTTTTGTGGTCATGTCTGTAACTTTCAGCCTATTTATCTCCTTTCAGCTTTTTTCTAAAAGTTTCATCTTTTTCTGCTATTTCAGTTACTTTTTAGCTGTTTTGTGCTAAATTTAGCTTTTTCAACTAATCCCACTTTTTAAAGATAATTTCAGTGCCTTCCACGTCCTCCTGGTTTTTTAAACTTCTTTCTGCCATTTCAACTATTTTATTTTTACTAATTTCCTAATTTTTACTGCTAATTTCTGCTTATTTAAATCTAATTTAGCTAATTTGTATTCTTTCTGCTTTCCTCTGCTAATTTAGGGTTGTTCTTCATTTTCAGCTACTTTTCAGGTAGCTTCAGCTGTTTTTCAGTAAGTTCTTCAGCAATAAGCATCCACACTGCATTTTCGCAGGAAATGCCATTTCTCTGGTTTATTCTACAACCGTCTTCTAGCCGAAGTGATGTCGTCATCTCTAACATCATCCTCTTGCGTCCTGTCCCAGCAGGACCAGTGCCAGTAAGATGCAGCTACAACCGTGCTGACCAGTAGCAGCAGCCAGAAGAGTCACAACACTGAACATCTGACACGGTACGCCTACATCCCAGCTGCTTTATTTACTCTTTCACCATTCCAGCATGTGGGTTTTGTGGCCACACGCTGTCAGCAGTGTTTAACGTTGAGGTCGACCAGTGAGACTTTGGTTGTGGTTGCAGCTCGCTGACACTGTTTGTGTTTGCAGCAGCCGAATCGATGCAAGTCTGGGTCAGTCTGTGAGCTGCTTCGGTGTGCGATGTGTGGACCTGCCCTCCGCCTGTGTCTGCTGCTGTGGGTCGTAGGCGCAACAACACAAAGTATGTTTTTACAACCAAAGCTTTCCTTAAATATACATGATGCTCCTTTTTATGAGCACTTACGATATAATCGGTTTTATAAAGCTGCAAGCTGCAGGCAACCACTTTTACATGAATTGTTCTGCTGATCTTCTATTGAAAATTTCACTTTAAACAAATGTTGCAGCTATTCTGGATAGTTTGCATCTTCTCTCACTTTGTC